ACCAAGGTGGACATGGCTGTGTTTAAAAGCTGAGAGAAATGCTTTGTACTTTCAGGGCTGAGTGGGTGCAGAAAGACGTATACTGCATACTGGGCCATGCAGCCAGCCTAATTCAGGCAGTTGCACCACTCTGTTTGTTACTAAAAAAAAATCCTATAAAAAGCTATGATGTTCAGTAAGTGAAATGAATGACAAACTCATTCAGCAAGATCCAACTTTTATCTTGAGACATTATCGTGGCTGAGAAGGACCACTCTTATGATACTCACTTCCATAAACTCTTTAATAGCACTTAAAGCAATAGAAAGACATTGAGGAATGCTGCAGCCTCCAAAGCTGCTATTCAAGCTAGTGATGCCATTAAATCAGTTCTAAATTATTATGATACACAGAGCTGACATGTTCATACAGCTGCAACCAGTAATTGGCAGCCTAGAATGCCACCCCTAGACTCAAGACAGCTCTCATGAGGCAGAACAGCTGTCAGCTTGCTGGCTCTCCAACACACATTCAATGCAGAAAGCAAAACTCATCAGTGTCTCTGTGACTTGCAATCTAGTCAAAGGGGTTTTACTTCACTGTCGACACTCACTGTAAAAACAAAAAAAAGGTTTCCTGTAACAGGAGTAATTTTCTCCTTTTTATTTTCTGCTTTCAAGTATATCTAATAATACCAATCATTTAATACTACTGTAATATTTTTACACAGAAGCTTAGCAGTATCAGCACTCTAAGCTAGGAACCTTGATTTCTCAAATACAGTAGCTCTCTATGTCAGGTGAACAGACTATCAAGTTTCAGATGTAAAACATAACTAGTGTTAAAAATTACATACCACTGATGTGCATTTGTACTTTATTTATCTCAGTTACAAATAAAACCTTTATCTTAGTTACAAATAGCTTCATGCAAAGTGTTAACAAAGTAAGTGAAATGAAGGGCAATGCTTATTGCTTCTGAACTTAGGAAGTTTCATGGAAAACGAGAGAAATCTTATGGTGGGTCAATGAGTGTAATGAATAGGATGATGTGCCACATGAAAGGAGTGACAAGGGTTTTCATTTTAACTTATTTCTATGCTTTCAATGTTCTGGCTTATTAGCATAATCCTTACACCATTGTTAAACTTTTTTTATTCACTACCTTTTCTCATTAAGCTACCTGTGAAGCCACAAGGGCTGAAAAGCTTGACAAACAAAGAATATTGAGGGCATAAGACCAGAGGATACAGATCATTTGCCATAAAAATATTCCAATGATAAATATACTCAAAATATTCTTTAAACAATTTTCATTTTATTCCATCTCATGTAAATCATTACAACACCACGTTCACTTACAGCATTCACCAATGCAAAATACCTTTCCATTTCAATGAGGTATGCCTAAATACTGGACAAATGTTGTTGTAGGCATTTCATCTTTTTTTCAACTTTGGTTTAGTACAGGAACAAACCTTCACAAAAATGTAAATACAGTGAACTGGAAAAAAATTAGATATGGAAGCCTTAATCAAATTGAAAGCAAAATTCAGCGGGCCACAGGAATATTACAATTTAATTTATTTTATAAAAAGTAATTAAAACCAAGGAAACTTCCCAGTGTAGAGAATTAGGGCAAGGGAAAGAACATTATAATGTCTTAAAAGTGAAACTGTGAGTGTAGCATTAGACAATTTTTTTTTTTTTCAAAGGTAGAGATTCAAACAAATTCAAGGGAAAAAAAAAATTAAAAATACCTACTTGGAACTTTGCCAAGCCAGATCCTGATATCCAGCAAGGACTATATACACAGTTTACAGCATATCTGGAATGGACTTGCAGAAAAGAAACCCATCACAATTGACAGGCTCAGTGAATGCCTTGTTAGTACAGAAATCAGAAGTGACAGGCATACGGTTATATTCCAAGTTTAGCATTATTTTCCAACTTTTGACAGAAACCATGCCACAGACAAGAAAGTGTGTAACACTAGAAACTTAGATCACTGCTGTCTGCAAGCAATGAGCATGACTGGTAACAAATGCCTTCTTTACAGAGCTGACTGGAGTTGAATGTACAAGATAATTCTAGTCAAACACAGAGTAGCAGCAACACAAAAAGTCTCTTGCCACTTTGTTTGTACTGATACTACATTTGCATGGCTGTATCTGCAATGATTCTGTGTGTATATTTAGCAAGTCTCTGTACACCACACAGAGCTGCACGAAGAGTTATTACCAAAACAAAAAAAAAAAAACGGAGCTCTTTCTTGAAGAGCTGTAGAAAGCTCCTGGAGACCTATTACCCCTCAAATGGAGCTGGACTGTGCAAATGCTCCAGCATGCAGCATCTCCAGTCATGCAACATCTTGTTGCAGTTTCTGCCTCACTGCAACAAGACAAAACTCAGATAAGGCCTTTTTGTATGGATGATCACCAAGGCTTTGCCAAAGGCATTAGAGTAGTCCAAAACAAACAAACCTACCCAACAATCTACCACTTACAAAAAATTCCAAATCTTAAATCCTCCACCATCTGTCTCTTTCAAACATTCTTGTCTATGAACAGTGTTTTCCACAAACCCCATGTGAAAGCAGTCCAACAACCAAATCATGTCCAGTCCATATAATTACATAACACACTTGTTTCATTATATTAATAAGTCTGCACTTTTAAAACTTTTAAAGATAAAATGAGACCATTTTTGTGGCTATTGCTGTATTTTAATTCTGAAGCATTATGTTTCAGAAGTACATGCATTATGGCTTTTGGAATAAGTTACACATCCTGATTAAAAAATGCTAGCCCCTTGGAAAAGGCAACTTGGAATGTGCAGCATGTTCTAACTACTCAGCTCTAAGTAACTAGCACATAAATATAGAGCTAGACGTGTTTGTATAACATTTATTTATGTTTCTTCTTAAATGGACCTCTCCCCTTAAAATCACCAGGACACCACCTCCATAATGACATAATACAGTGGCATCTTTCTTAATGTAGTTAGGACAAGCTACGTATCTTGCAACTAAAGGTTTCTGAAACAGCCACTAGACAAAAACCATTTGGTACTTTTGCTTCATTAACAGGAAAAGACAAGTCAAACCCATTTTTGGGCTACAGCAACACCTCCAGAGGATCACAGCAGTCAGCACATCACTGCACTAGTAGTGCAACAGTTACTTCTTTAGAAATAGCTCCACACTGAAATTTTCATACAGCCAGAAGCTATGGCTGTAGTCACACACTTCAGATAGCTGACACCGAAAGCATCTCCAAGAGTATTTGACTGCTATGAAAGGACAATACATCTCCACCAATTCTAACACCTATTCAACAGTGCAGTTACACAGGACACTGAAGAAAACTGAACGACAGTCACTGCTGGTTTGTTTCCTCTCAAAGCTAAAAATTCAGAGAACTCATCCTCCAGACCAGCATCTCCCTAGCACTCCGCAGTTTTCCAAAACGGCAGGCACACTTGATCTGCTCACACACCACATTTAACCTAACAGATACATGCCAGTCCTCTTAGTGAAAAAAGCAGAAAATTGCACTGATCACGAAAGCAGAAAATCTCAATTTCACCCTTTAACTGCTGACTACTGATAAGAGAGCTCATTGGTTTACCATTCAAACAAAGAAACATGGACCAACCTGAGCTGTTCCAAGCCTCTTAACCAGCACACTCTAAAATACTGACATCAAACTGCTGATTGCCATTAACAAAACGTTCATACAAGAAAGCACCCAGAAACTAATAGTGAGCATCATGTAGCAGACAACTAGGTAAGTCTATTACCCCAGAACACTAACCCAACAGAAAAAGTAATTCACCTTCCCCAAACTACAACTTTACAAGATGATGCCCTTTTTTCCCCAAAATTAAAAATCTTAAACATCAAACCTTTCATAACGAAGAGACTCAGTGCAATTTGCTGCAGGTCTAATTCAAAGTCCACTGAAAGTAAATTTTCAGTTCATCTATTTCAGTGTGGTCTGGATTAGACCCTTTTTCAACTTATTTCAGCATAAGCCCTACAAATTATATCTGTACGTACATATACTTAACTAATGGCTATGGAAACCATAAAGCAAATTTTGCCTGCCCCACCATCTGAACTCTTCAATAGTAAAACCTGCAGTGGGCAAACACCTCAGTGTGGAAGTTAACACCAGACTGAATTCAGGAGTTCTAGCTCATTTAACTCAAATCAAACTCCAGCAATTTAATTCAGACATGTTAAAATAGTGGTTCAGAATGACAAGAAATGTGTATGCTTTCATCTATAGAGATCGTATTTCCAAAAGATAAACCTTTAAAACTAAGTTCACACTTCAGTTCCACTAGAATACCACTCAAGAAGGAAGACACATTTGCCAAAAAGCCCCACTTACTCATATGAATGTTATGCTTAGAGGCCACGAACAGATACACAAACAAGCAAATTATTTTCTGGGGCTCCTACTCCCAAGTTCTCTACTGCTGCAATTTTTATTAGGGATGGAGAAACTAGAGAGCGTCAAATACTCAAAATAACCAAGAATGATGTGCGACGAGTCTGTAGAAAATGCTACTGGGAAGATTCCAGGATCCCGCAAGACGTCCCAGGGGCACCTGAGCTCTCTCGGAGAAGGTCCCTGCACAGGGCGGCGGGCCGTGCTCATTATCGTGGCCTCTCAGGGGGCCGAGTGCGGGGAACAGCGAGCTGCACACGCAGCGTCTCCCGCTCTCCCTGGGCTACAAAGGGAAGAGGAACGCGGTCGCTAGGGGGGGAAGCTGCATCCTCCGGAGGGAGATGGTCCTACCTCCCGGCCGAAAACGACGACGGGAGAGCGGGAGAACGACGCAGCCCCTCACACACGGCGGCCGGCGAAGAAGGGCGCTGAGAGGGCATCTCCTGGGATGCCCTCCCGGGACTCGCCGGCCCCGCGTTTCCCGCCCCTGCGGATCCCCATCTTCTGCAAGGGGAACGTTTATTTCGAGGGGGAGAGAGGACCAGGAAGGGTCGCGGCTACTCACATGGGCTCCAAGGTTTTGCTGAGCCAGGATTTCAGCGCCTCGAAGTTTTCTATGATCATTTTAACCACCATCCAGAGCGGCCCGGGCCCCCCGCCTCCCCGCCAGCAGCAACAGCAGTAGCAGCAGCCCCGG